TTAGTTCAATAACCAATTTATCAAAAGCACCTCGATATGCCTCATTTGCATTTATCCAAGTTTCCCTTCCGGTCGCTACAAAATTACCCCACAATTTTGCGGACAATCTTGTTTGTTTATAAATTTCGTTCTCAAATGCAAGTAGAAACAACCCAAATGCGATTTTATTGATTTGATTGTCAACCAAAGAGGTTTTCGGAGATAAACTGTTCATCTTTTTGATTTCCAGGAGTTCTTTGAGTGTCGGCAGTGGGATATCAATGGTTAGATCCTTAAAAACTTTGCTGTTGCGTATTGCATTTCGGGCTCAAAGACAATTGACTCTGCTATTATATTTGTATACTTGTCTGATATTCGTACGATAGGTCGTGTATCGTTAGATAAGTTAAGTTGGTTCTTTTGAAACAATTTATGTTGTAAGACAATTATAAGAAAGAACAGAATTAGTATTTACAATCTGTAGATTTTTGAGAGTAGTTGAACGACGTTGTGGCGGATAACATTCACCTTTAATCTGGAAAATATTTTTTTCCGGTCGTATCAAGTTCGTTTGGTCTGGACTCGAAGACAATTTAATGTCCTGCTATTATATTTGTGTTCTTGTCTAATATTCGTACGATAGTGCGTTTATCGTTAGATAAGTTAAGTTGGTTCTTTGAAGCAATTTATGTTTGTAAGACGATTATAAGAAAAGAACAGAATCATACTCCCTTTGCTACTATAAATCAAATCACGTTATAATGTGATCGCAAACACAGACTACTTGCATAATGAGATGCAACAAATTATCTCGGACAGAAAATGATCAGCTTATTTCGTTGCCATTAAAAGATATCAAAGAAAAAAAAGCGAAAGGTCAATTTTATCGTTTGGGTTAAGGTAAGGGTTAGCGTGGAGAACAAGATTATATGTAGAATTGTTTTGCTCACACTTTTCAACCTTAGAATTAGCGTAGTAATTGGTATAATAACATGAAAACTGTATAAATAGAAGAAGTGTAAAGAGTCTGTGAAAGACATGCTTTGATCAAATAAAATAACAAAATTCTTACATGTAATAATAATATTACTCGTGAATACACTATTATTTTATTATTTCTGGTCAAACTTCAAAACTTGTAGTGGATGCTCCTCCACTCTAAATAAGCCGTCGATTGTATTCTTGATATTATTGTTATTTTGATTTTCCTTTGTTCAGGCCGTATCAATAAGTCCTGTTGAATTGTTTTGTTAAATAGGTCGTACCAATAAGTCCTATTGTGTTATATTAATTAAATTGATTTTTGGATTATTCCCTTTTTTATTATACCATTGTTTTCGCCCTTTACTTTTTTAACGTCGATTTGCTTACAAGTCGCCACGGGAAGCCTTTAGAACACCCAAAGAAACCCTTTATTCGTAAATAATTCAGTCTAGCTCTCATCCCAGTTCGTAAAAACCCCTCTTTGACCGATTAAAATAGTAGCACGCAACAATATATCGATATTAATATCTACGTAGTATTCTCCAAACAGACAGCGTTACGTACTTTCTAAAGAATATTATTGTAACCAGTGCTGATGGCATTGAGAATTTACACGCATCTTGATGTTAATAATCAAATTGTAGTGTGAATTGTACATGTATATGTGCATCTTAGTCATATTAATATAAATAATAACTAGCTTGATTTATTATAAATTCAACGCCGTTCGAGTTTTGCAAAGAAAAAAATAAACTTATAAATATGAATATAGATAATAATAACTACATTCAACGTTGGTTTTACTCAACTAGTGAGCCATTACTCACCTCGATATCTTACACCCAATGGAACAGCAGAATGAATCTGTTGACACTCAATTCGATTTCGTTGAAGGATTCAAGCATCCTATGTTAAACGAAAACACTCTTTTGGTTGATTATGATAACACTGTTACCGCCGGCGAACAAACTTCCTCGATTATGGTTTTTCGGGGGTAAACGGCAGGAAACGAGCCGTGGATGTTGATAACGCCGGCCCGACGTTACTAATCTCCAAAATCGGTAGAGTTTACAGCAACGATTGCAGCAAATTCCCGTTATAATTGTCAACAATGCCGCAGGTTTCCTGAACCGGTAAGCTTTTCAGCAGCTAATTCCCACCACAATGCTGTTGTAGATTTTTCGTCAAAACAGCAGCAAATATCATCACGAATGTCAACAAATGCGATCGGTGGACTTTTCAGCATGACGACATGCTAATAAAAACAACAAACTCCCTTTTTAATATACGATACGGAACTACGTAATTCCCCGCGCCTTTTTTCAGCGTTTCTGCATCGTTTTCAGAATATCCTCATCATTTTCAGCGTCTCCCTGTCATTCTTCAGCACGATTTCATTAAGTTTTGATTTATTTTGTAACAGTTGCTTCTATAGATAGAGCGTCCGTTATGAGCTCTTTTTATTCTTAATAGTAAAAAAACGTTATGCTTTCTCTTCTTTGATAGTACAAAAATAATAACACACAAAAAAATGTATAAAAGAATGGCCCACGGGCTACTAATAAAAACAGAATTAATATTGCGAACAACTGTTCTCCAAGTAAGCCACTTGTAAAAAGAGAATTGAAATTGTGTACAATTCTTCTCCAAGCAAATCAAACTTGAATTTTTGCGTACAATTATTCTCCCCCTAAGTAAATTATCGCTTGTAAAATCTCTTTCACCCATTTCCCACACATTAATTGTTATATCGGTTGTCGGTTAGGTCCTTTGTACCAGAAAAGGCATTGTTTTATATAGAATCGTATTGTTAATGAAAACCCGTTTTGTGTGATCACCGTTATCGTTATTATTTTAATAGTTTAAGGCTTTTGTCTAGAAAAAGCAACGATTGTTAGTAATATTTTTAAGAGCTATTGTCTAGAAAAAGCAACAATTGTTAATAATATTTTTAAGAGTTTAAGGCTTTTGTCTATAAAAAGCAATAGTTAAGAATCCCCCAAACACTCACCTGAAACATATAGTCTCTCTTCCCCCCAATCAACACAACCGACGATATCCGTAGATATCGGCACAGACTTTAGACACCGAAAGAAATCACCGTTCAGTCTATCAAGCTCTCCCAAAGTCTTGTTGCGGCATAAATCCTCTAATTCGCTAAAACCAAAACAAAGCCGCAACAACACCTTCGATTCTGAAATTCCAATAATAGAGATCGAGTTCACCGCGACAATTGATAACGATGGTGATAACGATGGCGGTAACGATGGCGATAACGGCGGTGGCAACGGCGACGGTGACGATAGCGATAGTGATGGCGAGCAAATGCTTTGAGAAGAAGCCTCTTCACCGAATCAAAAAAAAAAATTAGGCAAAATCATTATCGTGCTTGAAGATAAAGACTTCTATGTTCATTTATTCAAATGTATTTTATTAAATTCGTTCTATTTCTGTCACATATATAATGAGTTCACTTTTCACTCGTTTTTTGGTTTTTCTTTTTATATTAGCATCAGATTAATTTTCTCTAAGTATTTAACGTTGAGTTAAAATGATTTCATAAAACTAATTTCACCATGAAATTTTTCTGACAATTCCTAAAAATAAATGTGGATTCAACCTGTGAAATAAAAAGATTAGCGTTATCGTTTTGAGATGTCTGCTTTTCCAAAGATGATATTCTTTTTGAACAAAATAGTTTATCTAAAGATGGATCCTCAATTAATTCCAGTATATTAAAATTGAATTGCTGCCCCCATCATCCGTTTTACCACAAACTCATAAACAAAAAATCTAATGAAATAGAAACTATAAGAAGATGCATTTGCGATTAAATAAGGCTAGACATGCTTGAAATTCGTTTAGACGACATATATAATGACAACACCACCCAATGTGTTCTATAAAGTGCTTCCAAATTAGGGTTTCAGATAGTTTCAGACTTATATGGCAAAACTGACAGTTCACTGGACGAAACGTTCGGATTTTGAAAAATAGTTTCGCCCGAAACTCTAGTATATGATAATAGAAAATGTGCAACTACGAAGTTTCAGTTTTTAATTTTTTTACTAAAAATTTCTTGAGTGCGATTACTGTAATTCGCTATGCAAATGATCCTTTGGTGAATTATACTCCCCTTTTATGCTGCATATATTTCAAATCCACCGATTTTATATTACACAAATCACATAGTTTTTAAAGAATAAATGTAATAATAAAAAAGTTTAACTATTCGTAAAATTATCTGCTATTTGCAAAACATAATAATATTCAAACTCATCATTTTCTTGATCCTTATTAGACTCTTCAAATTCAAATACTTTTTGATTTACCTGTAAAGCTAGATCCTTCCCCGAAATTGCTTTCTCAAAACATACTTATCAGATTCATGATTTTTTGGTGTGTCAACTTTTTTATAATTAAAAACTAAAGCTTCTTAGTTGATATACTGCAACATTTGAATAAGCTGTGGATCAATGGCATCCCACGCAGTATTATATGCTGAACGTTGGATCCGACCAGTTGACATCTTGTGCCATCCAATCATTATACATTGCTCTAATTTCTTAAATAAAAAATGTATAAATTTATTAACAAACATTCTGATACTTCGCGTTAAAATACTAAACCAAATTAAACTAAATAATTATACTTTTAACAAAGCTCCGTTGAACTTTGGAGATTAATCCTGCGAGATTGGTATTTTTTTCAGTAAAATAATTTTTGACAGGAGAAACCAGATGTCTTCTAAAAGAATTCATAACCAATATTGAGCGAAAAATATGTGCACTATTAAACAAAGATTCAGACTCATTAAAGTATTTCTTTAGTATTCATGGTATTAATTATTACTGCAAACTGTGCTAAAAAAATCCAGTGAACAACCACATGCAACTATCCAGCAAATGTTGGTATTTCCAAGAGATGAGACATTAGATCTCTACAAGATTACTACAAGCGAATTTCTCACACTCTTACTAAAGTAAGCAGAGATGAGTGATCTATGAATACGCCTAAAGTTCACGTAGTTAATCAGTTTGGAAATAAATCACAGCAGATTGGAGTTCCGTCCAATTCTACGGGACAGAGTTACAATTGTGTGGGAGTTCTTATGAATGAAATTTATTACTGTTTCATTAAAAGTGACCAATCATAATGCTTGATTAGATCTTTGTTGCTGCGTATATTAACGAATATATTATTGATTGCTAGATCAGTACAATGGGTTTAAATCCGGTTGCAACATAAAATTGTATCTATATAGTTCAAAACTCGATCAATAATATAACAATATTGTTACATCGAGTAAATTTCCTATACATTCGAGTCAACATAGGTATAGAGCGGGAACAGAATTAGGATTTAGAATCCTGCAGGTACTAACCCTAAACCTTACCCTTACTCTAACTTTCGTCAGACCCTATCTCAGATTTGGGCCGATTCTAAATTCCGTTCCCATGTACCGTAAATAGCCATATAAAATATTCCCTCTAATAGCCCTATGACTGACGTTTATCTATACAACTTCAATTTATGTTACATTTGTCCTACACATTTTTGATTTATCGTTTCTTACGTATATTAAACAAAATGCATCATTTTAATGCAAGAAATACAAGACAATGTACGTATATATTTATCCGAAATTTATTCAATGCAAAAGACAAATGTAACATAAACTGAAATTGTATTGATAAACGTCAGACAAATATCAGTTATTTTTTTATAGGTAGCACTGTACCCGGTGCAAAATCTCGACTATTAACACAGCAACTTTAATAAAACCCGGGTACAATACAGGTTTCTGGACCGTGTAATGTAACGGTATATTGTATAGCGCAAATAATATAGTCAGTGAAACAATGATTTTTTTGCCAAATGCAATTTCTTCATAATCTTTTATTTAAGTATGACTTTGAAACTAAATTAAGTGGCAAAGTTTTATATAGACTACTTTAAGCAGTACTATATTGTAATTTCATTCACACGTAAATTTAACAGATGTATCTAACGTAGTCTAATTTAATAAAAACGACACTTATCTTCCTCACCATTTTTAGGTAGTCGGCTGCATGATACTAAAGTTAAGATAACCGGTTACAGACGCGTGAAAATCTATAAGAAAATATGTATTGAATTCGACTTAAGATTTAAAATAGAATAGTTTCCGATGCACCATGATAAAAAAGGAAAGTTTGCCTTACAGTTACTGCTAGCTTACAATAACATACTACGTATATATAATTGATAATATGAAGTTTCGGGTTTTTGATATCGTTCTTAAACAAATTCATTAGAAATTAAATGCTATAATTTATTGCCATTAATTTTCGTATAAAATTGTTTCTTTTAAAAGATAACAGAAAAATTTGGCATAAATGAAATTCGACTATCTTCTCTACGACTAGTCGTACACTAGAATGTGGTGTCCCGGATCATATTTTAAAGTCTGTTAGGATAACGATAACACTACGCATTTAGCATAAAAAAGAATAATTATTATAAAACTGAAATAAATTTAGAAATTATAATTTGTGCTTGTGAAAAATATAAGATTGGCCATATCAAACATTTCTTAACTTGGGAATTAAATATGAATGAGCCTAGTAAGTAGACTAGTCGTGGCAGAAAAATTCATTGATCACGTGAGCGTTATGTGGCGTAATCCAATAAGAACGTCCTTCCGAGTGACGCAAACCAATAGGAATGAGCAAATTTTTTATCAATCCGGCAAAACAAATCCGACACAAGAAAATGAAAAAAGTGAATAACATAAAAAATACGGAAAACAGATGTCAAATCTGGCTTGAAAAATTAATAAAAAATGTCGGGAAGATAGTTTCACATATAATCTTGTTCTCTACTATAACCCATACCCTAACCCGAACGATAAAATATCCTTTAACGTTAATTTTCCGTGATCACGTGATCGATGAATTTTTCTGCCACAACTAGTCTACTAGTACTGTATCCACCTTCGTGGTAACGCATCCATCCACTTTCGTGGTAATGCACCTTTACTCGGGGCAATGCATCTAAAAATCACAAAAAATATATGTATTTGATTAAAGAATCCTAGCCATGGCAAAATAAAAGGGTCGTATCACGTGCTAATTATGGCACAAACCAATAAAAATGCGTAAAATTTTTGATCAGCCAGAAAGTAAAAAAATAAAAAATATGGGAAATAGATGCCTAAATCCAGTTTGTTACACTAAAAAAAGAGTTGGGAAGACAATTTTACATATAATCTTGACTCCAGCTCTAACCCTAATCCTAACCTTTAAATTAACCTTTAACAATAACCTATATTACCGTAGAATTTTTCCGGACATACATAGTAAATTGTTAAAAAGATTTGAAGCGATATCAGACCCAAACTGCGGTAGGTGTATTTCTTTTTTTCGATTTGCTTTTACTTCTTTTAATCCTTCCAATAAATTATCTTTGCTTGAGGTCAAACGAAGTTTAGACTGTTTAACCGACAGTGACATGTTTGTTATATTTAATTAATGCACAGGGTGAAATTTCGAGTAGATTAATATTAAGGTTCAAAGGACTAAGATATAGAGCGAAATTTACATTTTAACCAAAAAAAACCTACTAATTAACTTAAAAATTCGCCCGGCCAACAAAGTAAAAATGCAATGAAGATAATTTAGGATAGGAAAAAATTCCCATAGGTAATGGTCGTAATAAGCAAGAATCGATTTGTATTAAAAATCAAGACAACTTTCAAATGGATCTCTCTGAAAGTTTCACCGAGGTTGAATAGCTTGTAAAAGAAGGTTTATAATATGTAATTGCACTTTTACTTCGGATCTGATCGTGGAGAAATAAATTGTTCCTACTACACGCATTGCCGATTTTACCGATACGTAGTTAATTGAATCAGCTTGTACTATGCTGTGTTACACTTTTCAAAATTGGGCAAAAAGTTGCAGAGATCGCTTGTTTACATGTATAACTCTATAACCATAGTTTTTATTCTCTTATCGTTATTGGCTGAATAAAATTTAGATCTCATGACTTCTTGTTACACAGGAAACGCTTATCATTATTAAAAGAAAGCTTCGCGAAAAGGATAAAGGAAATCCTCAGCAAAAAGGTGAAGATTCTGGCCTGAATTCCCACCTTCTCACCTCACTGGAGAAATACTGACAGGAAGCGTTGTAAAATGAACACTTCCTGTGGAAGAAACCAGAGGACACCGATAACAATGATGATGCTGCCAGTATTCCCTATTAAATTATCACATCGAATAATTTGCCGCGCTTTTTATAGAATACGGTTTCTTCCATTAGACGACGAAGAAAAAAAATTCAGACTTTGAATGTAAATATTTACGAGAGGCAATTTTTGTTACAAGCATTTTTGTTTATGAATAAATTCGGGTGAGGAAGTATTTGCCTGCGCTAAATTAGGAAAGGTGGACGTGCGGAACTCTTTCTTCGATACATAATACGAATAGTTATTCAATAGAAAAGGTGGAAATCTAATATTGAATCAAAAAAATTTATTGGCTTACATGATAAAATATAATCAAATGAACAATATTAGCTTAGACTTCTCTTAACAGTTTACCACAAAAACGCAAAATTATTTGTTAGATCTAAATTCTAGAGTGTTGACTATTCTTTTAAAAAAAAACTATTCAACATGAGAATTTAGTTCAATAACCAATTTATCAAAAGCACCTCGATATGCCTCATTTGCATTTATCCAAGTTTCCCTTCCGGTCGCTGCAAAATTACCCCACAATTTTGCGGACAATCTTGTTTGTTTATAAATTTCGTTCTCAAATGCAAGTAGAAACAATCCAAATGCGCTTTTATTGAGTTGATTGTCAACCAAAGAGGTTTTCGGAGATAAATTGTTCATTTTCATTTCCAGGAGTTCTTTGAGTGTCGGCAGTGGAATATCAATGGTTAGATCCTTCAAAACTTTTGCTGTTGCGTATTGCATTTCGGGCTCAAAGACATTTAAATCTGCTATTATATTTGTATTCTTGTCTGATATTCGTACGATAGGGCGTGTATCGTTAGATAAGTTAAGTTGGTTCTTTTGAAAAAATTTATGTTGTAAGACAATTATAAGAAAAGAACAGAATTAGTATTTACAATCTGTGGATTTTTGAGAGTAGTTGAACGACGTTGTGGCGGATAACATTCACCTTTAATCTGGAAAATATATTTTTTTCCGGTCGTATCAATTTCGTTTGGTCTGGACTCAAAGACAATTAATGTCCTGCTATTATATTTGTGTTCCTGTCTGATATTCGTACGATAGTGCGTTTATCGTTAGATAAGTTAAGTTGGTTCTTTGAAGCAATTTATGTTTGTAAGACGATTATAAGAAAAGAACCCCAAGAAGAAATACAAATTGACGGATTTCCATCCTTAACATCAACAATCTCGACAACCATTTATAATAATCAAGACTACACAACAAACAAACATTCATAATCATCAAGAATATTTGTTCAAAATTTCATCGTCATAATTAATTTCCTATTTATTTGAGAATTAATACTTCTTCAACATTACTGATATCTTCACCCTTATCACAATATAATTTATCAAATGTCATTTTTGATATGATAGCTTCTCTTAAATTTTGTCTTATAATATACACTTGGACAAATTTAAATTTATGCACTAGTCCTCCTTTTTCAACTCTTCCATTCACAATCAGTTCATGTTGTATAAAATATAAAATTACATAATACATGTATATAAAAGCATAATTAACGCAATTTCCTGAAATTCATCTTCCGAAAGCTGATCACACGATCACTGATGCTACTGTATACGTTCGTACAATACAGATTTCCTAATACATGTACATGTACCGATACGTTCAAATGTTAATTTTAATGTTAATCCCTTATCGTTATTTGTTAACGTTAACACTGTAGCTTCTATTAAATAAAGATCTTCATTCCCAGAGTTTTCAATATGCTCTATCTAATTTTCCGATGATCAATTTACGATAATTAATTTTATGATTCACAGTGAATTTTAATACAATAAATTTTGACATTTGAAGAATTATTACTTATAATACAAATACTAAAATTTCGTAGTTTTAAAGTTTTTTAATTTAATAAAGATTAAATAAATTAAATCACAGTTGACTTGAGCCAGTACATGTATAAACTTACCGTCTTTAAACCAACCATAACTGACAAAATGATTATAACAATTTGCTGAAATATATTATTGGTGCGTTGAAGGACCAATGAAATTGATTTGTACGACAATTATGGAAATTATCTATTTCAGTTACGCCGATAAATTTCATCAATTTAAGCATGTGGCCAGAAACAAAGAACAATTAAATACAAATGATACCCTGCATACAATGGCAGCACTCGGAAGATTATAGAAGACCATTGGAAGATCACTGGAAGTGAATTAATATAAATTGAACCTTCCAATGGACTTCCAGTTGCTATAGAAAATAGAAACCCACTGGAAGCAAAACTTAACAACACACGACCTAGCATACATTTACTACATTCTTACAAATAACTTGACATAAAGATTCAAAAAAATAAAAATCGAATTACTTATATGCAAAAAATGTCTTTATCTCAAGCTAACGCAAAAATTATGGTCCAGAAAGGTAATAGTAACGGGATATCAAAAACTAAAAGAGTTAATGCAGGTTCTCAAAAGAGAAGAAATAGTTCAATTCCAGATACTACGGGACGGCGTCATGTTTGGATTGTAAGAAATGAGATCTATAAATCTTCTCGAGCCACTAAAAAGAAGATTGCTGAAACCCAATGTCGTAAATGTCTCGAGAATGATGAAAGTGTTGAAATAGTAGAGTCAAACCTTGAGACTCTAGAAAAAGCTGTGAATAAATTGTCTTGCACTGTAAGCAAGAAAACTAATTACGGTTTTATAAACTTTGCACAACCTTTTTCTCATTTAGTAAGTTTCATTCTTTTAATCTTACATTAATATTCGAAAAAGTATGCAACAAAAAGGATTGATTGAATGGATAAATTAGGACATATAAATTTATTTTGCCTAGTTATATTTTATCAAACGTTTGAGCATATTTATTTAATGAATATTCATAAACTAGATTTTTAATTCTTTTTTGTTTTCTTGCTTTTAAAGAATATAGATGATCTTTTGAATCTTTCAATGCAGTTTTCTACATCAAATATAAATCAAAAAGATAACGGTCTCCAAAATCAAGAATTTTTCCAAACTAATGGTAACTATTTCATGATGTGAAAAAAAATTGCATCATTTTTTAATTAGATTTAGACTAAGGTTGTTGCATACCGTACATAAAATAATAAGCGATAATTAATATGGATTTTAAAAATATCAAAGTGTGTGTGTACAAGCTATCTTAGTCGGAATATGATAATGATAATGATTGTTTTTCCATAAAGAATTAGTAATTTTCATAATCTTATGACTCTATCGTTATCTATTACGATTTCTTATCTCCTATGTTATAATTATCTTTAGACATTTCTAGATGTATATAAATACTATATTTAATTATGTAAGAATTAGAGTTCAAAATTCGATCAATTAAGAGTTACATTATCTATATATGATAGCAAATATAAGTGTTATCTCATTCTAATAAAACAATTATTCTATACTTCATAAATAAGATTCATTTGCATAATCAGATAACGATAACAAAATTTTGATCTTTCATATTTATTTGCAATACAATATGATGTCAAAATAGATAATCTTGCTTTTTACATGTATTAACTAGGCATTCACAAAAACTCGAACAATGATATCCATGCAGTGGTTTGTCATATCTTAGATTTCAAATAATGAAATGATCTATTAGGAAGGTTCAATAATGATAACGATAGATTTTGTTATCGTATCTTGATTGATTTTCTTTTAGATTACACAACTGTGACAATACATGTATTTATGGGAGATCTGTTGATATTTAGCGTTAGTGTATTTAATAAATGATATCGATATGCAAAGATTATCATTATACATGTACGTACATTGTTACCATTTTCAACAAAAATTTCGTAATTCAATAATTTTTATGATGTCATAAATTATGGTGTATCATAATTTCGCCAATGATATTTATATTAATTTAATACTTTTTGATGTTATACAAGCAAGTTTTGTATTTATTTGACATTACACAGTCAAATTTGACATTACACAATCATATTTTCACAAATATCACTTTCCTTTTGATTGATTATTAAATTAATTATTAACAAATTACATTTTTTATATACTTTAACATTTATCTTTACTTTTTCCCCATTCTTTACTTTTATTTTTCTTCTTTTATTGCTATTGGTATATCTTATCCCCAACAAAAATATTCTTAATTCGAATTTCATTATCTTTAACCAATTATATTTTATTTCTCATTTGTATCTTTATTCTCATTATTATTTTTATCTTTATCTTTAATATTGTCATCTCTTATTATTTATTTGTATCTTTATTCTCATTATTATTTTTATTTTTATCTTTAATATTGTCATCCCTTATTATTTATTTTGTATTATTCAATTTTTCTTTAAAACTTTTCTTTTTTACTATGTTCTTATAATTTCTCTTATCTTTAATCACTCAAATTCACATTAATTTTATTTTGTGTAATTCCTTATTTAATTTTTAATCTTTGTTCTTTTTAGTATTATTTAGTATTATCTGTAAATAGTGATATAATTTAGAATTATTATTAATTATATAAATCAAAGTAATTATTAAAAATATATAAAAAAAGAGTCTCTCATCACTAGAAATTCTCATGTTCTAATTTAATAAAAATAACAAAGTTCTTACTTGTAATATTATACTTGTGAATATATTATTATTCTCTTAATCATTTTCAAATCTTGATTTCAAGTAGTGGATACTTCTTCACTCTAGATAAGCTATTAACTTTAATATTTTTGTTTATTTTGGTTTTATTATTTTTAGACTATATTAATAAATTCTGTTATTTTATTTTTTTTATTGACAATCTTAATAAGTTCTGTTATTTTTTTAATAATTATTTTATTTTATTTTAATTTTAATTTATTATATTCTTTTCTTTAATTTCTCTTTTTGCTCTTATATTTATTTTTGATAGTAAGTTAGTTTGTATACAAGCTATCTTTAAAGTTTTTAGTAAATTTTATTAATTGTAAATTATTCAGTTTTTATTTTTTTACTGTTATATTATTTTAATAATTCATTAATTATAACAATTTTTGAATTAATAAGAACAATATATAGTATACATTAGTTTGAATACTAATTAACTTAATTGATATATATATATATATTGTTACCATTTTGATGGGACTTTTGAAATACTCAAAGGTATTTATAAAATTTAAGGAATATTCAAAGGGAAACTTCCAATGTCTTAACGACAATTC